TATATATATATATATATGCATGTATGTGTGCATGTATGTATGAGATGACAGTGTTGTGTGGGAAGAGGCTGTGACCTTAGGAGCGGCATGCAGTACCGACTCCATGTTTGTGGTTTTGCCGTTTATAACGCACACAGATGGAGCCACAGGCACACGGAAATGTCATCACTGCTAATTGATGCCTTGGTGGTACCCATTCCTCAGCCTGAGGGGCAATGAAAAACAGCTATTTCTATTTCACGCACGTGTTCTTTCGACGGTGTACGTTGACTATGAAGGGCGGCACTAGTGGTTAGCACATCCGCCTCTGAGGTTGGAGGTTTGAATCTTTATAAACTTGTATGACAGTTAAAAAAAACAATTATATCTTTTTGCTTTTTCTTTGACTTTTCAAAAGATCATTATATGCAATGTTACCACAGAAGGTTACCATTCATGACAAAGGCGACTCATGTGCTGACAGCCATAAAACCAGATAGAGAAGCTATTGCGACGGCAGCGGTGGCACAGTTACAAAAGTACAGAAAATGAGTTTAATCTTCATGTGAAAAGACTCGCCTCCCAAGTACATGCAGGAGTGAACATTCGCCAAGGATTCACCGCATTATAATTTTTGTTTATGTTTAACGGCTCTGAACTCATTATTACACATAGCAAAGTGCCTATTTGCAGCATCATCGGTTCTTTTGAGCAAGCTCCACTTTTCATAGCATCCACTAGAGGGCATGATTACATATTTTCTTCAGGGGTTTCTCAACTCTGGTGTCCATCATCTTTTTCTTTTTCTATTATGCTTCACATACCAGTTCATTTGGTACACTGCCACAATCCAAAGAGCTCTATCCAAAATTCGAACTATACAATACAGTATTGTACAAATAATTTTATAGAGATAGTGTTTAAAATAATAGTATAACGTAATCATTCTTTTTTTGGTTTCCATCTTATCTTCATTAATTCTCAATCATTTTCATGAAATGTGTAGAATTTTTTATATTATTATTATTATTATTATTATTATGATTATTATTCCCGGGCGTTGTCCATTGACTACATTTCCCATGATGCACCATCTCCAGTTTGCACGTGTCAACGCTGCCAGCAAACCGGACTAGACGTCACATTCTTGCATTCCCTCTTTTCCCCTCCGCTTTTTTCTACGTTGTCGTTACCTCCATAGCTAACCCCCTTTATTCATTTCTTTCCATTTTATTTATTTATATTTTTAAACAAACACAGTAACAGTCATGACGCGGCAGGTTTGATCGGAGAAGGAGGTGAACCCGGGTTTTCGAGACACATTCTCAATTCGGGTGAGCATTAATCTCATTACATGCCGGTCTGTGTGTGTGTGTGTTGTTCCCAGTGCTAACAAGCACACATAACAAGGTTGATGTGTTAAATGGCCTCTTCCTGGAGTAACTTTATGTTGCGACGTTTTCCTTTAGGGTAATAATGTGGTTGTCAGTCCATAATGTGCGCTCTTGTTGTCTCGCGTTTGTTAGCGTTAGCCAGCCGGTTAGCCGCAAAGTTGGCGTCAGGTCAGCATCGTTGGGCGACTCGCTTTGGGGTGACTCGCTTGGGCGTGGCTTTTACCTCCATGTGTGGACACTGGCATTGTTGTTCACATTACGGTGCTTTTTTTTTTTTTTTTTTGGTGCTGATGAAGATGTGTTGTGGGATGCTAAAGCTTGTGGCTAATGGATGTAGCTTCTCCTGCAATATGGGCGTGGTTATGGTCGAGTAAGAGACGAGGACACCGACGGGGTTTGTTTTGATGGGCGTCATTTTCTTCTCTTTGCTTTCGTGACTTTATTGAACGTGTACTGGACTGACAATCCGAAAGATCCAGCAGTGTGCTTCCAAAATCCGTTACACAACACAACCCGAAGAAAGGATGCCATCATCTGCCTAAAATCTACAGTAGCTAAATGTATGACTTTTCACGCTCGGAACATTCCTTGCATTCTTGTACCAACGGAATGACTTTAGCAGGCAAATGGAATGTGCTCGTGCGACTGCAAGCCTCCGCATCCAAGGCTGGATGTCCACTGCATGGTTCAAAGTGACACGATTATTCTTATTTTGTGTGGCGCAATTGGGCATCTTCAATAAAGATGCCTGAAATATGATTTCATATATTCCGTAAGTGGAAACACAGCCGTATAGGATATGTGTCACTTGAAATGGAACCACACATTTTGAACAATTAGAAATACAGTGTCGGCTTGAAATCTTTTTCGATGAGTTTAGTCAAAACTGTTTGTCACGTTTGAATCATGTACGATCCCACGCCCTGCGGCTTCGAGATTCTGCTTCATTTTGTTTGTTTGCATGTCATTCAGGTTCATTGATTGCTTTGTCAACACTTCACATATTGTTTATTCTCTGCCTTCTATACAGAGGACAGAACAAATCCTCTCCCCTCTGTTCAAATGGTGGGATGAGAAAAGAGGAATCATTTCAAAGTGTTGTGTGACCTTCGTACAATCAATAACCTGCACAATATAATAGGAAAAAAAATATCGAGCAGGAAAGTTGTTGTGGACACTTTTTTAATGGATTATGGCTATGTTCACATTGAACCCTATAATAAATAGGACTCGCCCCCATACATTCCAATGTACACAGTGTGCATTCTATTTTTTTTTTCCTTCACATGTTGGCAACAGTTTGACCCTGAAACAGATTCATTCTATTTTCATGGCTCCCGATGAGACCAAAATGTTTGCCGTTGTCTTCAGCTTTCGGGATTCTGCTGTCGTTGCACTTAATAAAGTCTATCTGTCAGCTCGTGGCCTTTGGGCCTGGGTTGAGTGCTGCTGTTTATTGATCAATTGACTCAGTCCGTCCTCAGAGGTCAGAGTGACTGGGAATGAGAGAATGTTAGCAATTCCGGTGACTCGTACGTTTGCCACGTGTATTTCGTGAGGCCATGATGACTGTAAACGATGGGGCTGTTTTAGCAATTTTCAGCAATATGTAAAGTTCTGGAGGTTAGTATTCCAGGTTTAACACTGGCGCGATGGAGCCTTTGTGCAAGGGAAAACCAAAAGGGTGTGACCAGGGTGTGAAGTTTAACACCCCGGCACTCACTTATCCCATCTTGTTCTGTCCGTCGGTCAAATACTTTTGATTCTGATTGAAGGCTGTTGTGTCGCTGTCTGAAAGGTCGCTCGCTTGCGGCAATATCCAGCCTCGCCGCATTCTGTGCGAAATGCAAAGGCGGATAAACGCCACGTTCCTGTCGCAGCTCTAACATGTTTGTTTTTTTTTTGTGTGTGTGTGACCGAGGTCAGTGAGCCCGCACGGAGGCCTTGCGCTGAAAGACAACGAAGCGTTTAGCTTAGCTTAGCTCCATGCTCATTGTTGTGGTCTTATTGGCGCTTAGCTTTTGTCTGTGGCGTTATTGGCAGGCTGCGCTTTACCCCTTCACATGTTCTGCTCACTCGACTCTCGTTGAAACACCTTAAGGAGGTGTTACTGGTCATCGTTACCTGAGAGTTTCAACCGTTCATTGTAACTTCATCCCTGTGTCTCACTTTATGCATGCATGCGCACACACAGACACACACACACACCGCCTACGTTAACTTTTCCGGCAAGAACGTAACCTAAAATTGCACCCAAGTCTTAACTCGCCGTAGTCTGTCGGTAATTGCATAAGGCAAGACAATTCCAGGCAATAAATATCAGAATCAGTGAGAAAATGAATGTGGTAACTGGGCGTTCCGTCCTTGTGCTACATGGCTACTACATTCTTGCGCCGCTGCGCAAATTCGTTCCCCTCTGAAATATTTGGAATGGTAAGGTTAATTCCCACGTTTTTGTTGTGACATTTGGGTTGCAGAACATGAGATGGATATGAGGTATTCCTACGTGCGCCTTTTTTTGGTCCACTCTAAAGCAGACCCAGCCAATTCAAGCGGCGACAGTTTGTTCTATAAACAGCGGCGATCCTCGTTGTGACCTTGCTCTCAGAAACGGAATACGCCAAATTCGTTGCGAACCCGCTGTGTGAGATGATTAAGAGAGCCAGTCTGTAGTAGAGCAGATTAGTATGCATTAGCCGCCCTCACTGTGTGTGGTGGGAACCCTGACTTGCATTCCCACTGTTTGAGCTCCGGGCTTATGCTTTTTTATGTCTACTGGTTGTGTAACCGCGGCGGGCATCTAAAGGATACCAGACAAGTGTCTCAATTGTTTTGCAGCACAAGGCTGAAAGGAAACCACAGCATTTGTGGTCAATAGTGCTCATCGGGATTGATTTGGATGGGTCAATATCCATTGGAGGCAGTTCATGTAGCCTGCGTGTCAAGGACATCTCACTAGGCTAAAAGTAATGACACAATGGGAATGACCAGGCCAGTCATCGTGCGTTTATAAATCGGTTACATTGTTCACATGCAACAAAAATTTACTTTTCAGCCGTGGGTTGAATATGAAAAAATGTGGCGGCGCACCAACTGCGTTGATGGGCTGTATAACCGCAAAACACGACTAATCATGTGACAATTGGATAATACGCGGTGGTACCTTGACTTATGTCCCCCCTCGATGTGATTTTTGAGTGACGGCCAACACTTGCAAGTAGTTACGGTAAGCCAATAACTCTTGTCCAGACACTCAGAAAATAACCGGTCACTCAACGAAGCCACGCCCCCTTAAATGCAACCAGCGGGCACGGTCTTTGTGATTGCCACCATGTCTAATTTTTTATTTTCAAAATTCCATCATAACCTGGAAGTGACCGCACCCTTTTGGGCCACCATACTTCAGATTGTTTTTTTTTTTTTTTTTTGCCAATGCAGAAGTCAGCCACATAGTCCATAGACCTTGCTCCGTTTTTAATGAAAACACTGCCACTAGCTTGGAAGTGTTGTCAAACTTGTACTCCTCAATCGCTAACCAGGTATAGCCAGACTGATGCCGAGCACTCCCCGGCGACTCGCCAGGCGTCAGTTGAGAGCGCTCCGCGTGCTTCGTTGGGGATAAATCCTCTTTGCATGGCCGCCGATCAAAGCTGTGATGTAAAGGAGCTTAAGAGCCAGGGCCGGAGGGTCAGGTGATCACACACAGGCCCAACAGGAGGGTGTGCGAAGTGGCGGGGAAATGAGGTGGAAAAACAAACAAGAGACAGCCCAGCGAGGATGTTGACAGTAGCGGAGGGTGTGAGTGTGTGTGTGAGGGTTTTGATGTAGTTAAAAGGTCAGACCCGTCGAGGCCGTTGTGAAAAGATGGTGCATGTATGGATGCTGGTGGACAGCCGTAACGCGATGTGTTGCTTTCAGATCATGAGGTGAGAGCCGTCGTTACGATGCGTCGATGGGAAAGACGATCTCCTGCCGCCGCCGACTCCGCTCTGACAATCTGTTCCCCCGCGTAGGTCACTTTCCTCCGCCGCTTCCCCTCTTCGCTTCCCACCTGCCGCCTTCACGGTCGCCATGGAGAGCTCGTCAGTGGCGTCGGCGTCATCCGAGGCCGGCAGCACGCGCTCGCAGGAGATCGAGGAGCTGGAGCGTTTCATCGACAGCTACGTGCTGGAGTACCAGGTGCAAGGGCTTCTGGGAGACAAGGTGGACGACGACCTGGACCTGGACGATGGTGGGAAGGTGCCACAGGTTAGCGCTTTTTTTTTTTCCAGAGATGACTGGCATTCAACGGTTGTACTCTGATTTTTAAAATGGACAGACGGACCAAGTCATTTGTTGATTTTAACCACACACACAAAAACAAAAACTGTTCACGTTTATTTTATTTAAGAAATAACAATTACTTTTTTTGTGTTTATTTACATTACCATTAATCATAAGAATAAGTTAAAGTATCAACATAAATGCGTTTATTTTATTTTAATTTTTGTCGTTAATCAAATAACAATTCTTCAAATAGATAAATGACCCCAAACATACATTAGAAGAAAAATACATCTTGGATGAAGTCGCTACACCTTAATGCCGGTGAGCCATAACGGGCTTACATAAGAACCTGCAAAAAAAAAAAAAGCAATCAAAAAGTTTCCTTCTAAACTCTTAAACTCTTATACTATAAGCTTTGCTCGTAGTTATGCCAAGACTACTGTAATTACATAACTTAATAAAACGGAGTGAGTGTCGCACCAACTTAAGGCGCAACTCTGAGCTTTTTTTTTTTTTTTCGTAAGTGGTATCATTTTTATATACAGTAACATACCAGCGGTTGGGTAATTGTTCTTATCCTAATAACGAGCGCATCCTCTACGTTGTTGTTTTTCCTCTTCCAGTGGACAGACGATTGCAACGACTACAAAGATGGCAGCTGGACGTCGTCTCAGGGGAGAAGCTCCTCAAAGCCAGTAAGTGTGTGTGTGTGTGTGTGTGTGTGTGTGTGTGTGTGTGTGTGTGTGTGTGTGTGTGTGTGTGTGTGTGTGTGTGTGT